ACGTATCAATGAAAGGTACGCTTCGTGATCGATCACCTGCTTAGAATGCGGGAGTTATTTGATTGCTGCGTTCCTCGGGACGTTTACCAGACTTTTTGTTATTCCCATTCCGCTTAAGTTGAAATAAATCTGGTTTATAAACGTAAAATTCTGCTGTCTGAAAAGATTGAAATGTAATATAATGAGGCAATTGACTAAACTTGACAGGTTTTATCAAACTACCATTGCTGAAACAGGCAACAAAATCTTTGCAATTGATATAATTATATGCCATCATATTGTAATACGGTTGAAAGTATCAACATGTGTTGTCATCTTCAAGATAAAATTTGACATTAACTGATAAAATTATAAAAAGTGTGCCTGAACACACAAGAGTAACAATGGAGGAAACGATTAATTGCATCTAAATCAAATGGTTTCAAGCCATTTTTATGCAATTGCGTACCTTATGTTTTCCATGATAATTATTTACATACAAAGGTTACTTGAAATTGAAAGACATGATCATCCAATCATTTTTTTTCAAATTGAACGATGCCGTATTCAAAATATCCTATATTGAACATGAATGTGTATGACATTTTCAATGTAACTTCGGGGAAAAACAGTATTAACAACGTAAGTGTGCGGCGAAAGGCACGTGATTGAATTTTCTTATGAGGAACGCATTGCATAATGTACTAGTTGCCGAATACAGTAACACATGTTGACATCTTCAAGATAAAATTTGACGTTAACTGCTAAAATGATAAAAAGTTTGCTTCATCACATTTTATATGTTGTTATCAGAAATGCCTAGGTTTGTATGATAGATGCATTTTTTTCAAGCTGTTTTATAAAAAGCAAATCATACTGTGGAAGCGAATTATCAGTCTATAGTACAATAGGGACACGATGGCTTTGTATCGCTCATATGAGATAGTAGTTAGCTCTTTATTTATATACAAAAACATAACCCCTACCTTTAGTACATTTTGGCGAATCGAAACTATTTGTAAATCTTGACAGTCAGTTATTGTTCCGATACGATAATGTGAGAGTGACGTTGCATTTTTTGGTGTTCACAAAAGTTTACAATCTTTGTCTGAATAGGTAAAACAGATTTTTTAAGAAGCCAATAGTACCATATAAAAAATAGAATTTTAAATGTCTCGATGGCAAAGTTGGTGAAGTCATTGGGATGCAATACAACTTTAATATTTTCACACGAGTTCGAACCTAACAAGTTGTATATTTTTTCTCTCTTTTTTTTTTGTTTCCCTGTTTTGTTTTTCAGTTGTGTCTTCTTATAGTGCAGCATCATATCAACTAATCTTCTTCGAAATCCAATCAACCATTGTAAATTCGAAAAATGTGCATGGACAATAGCACTTTTTTCGTGCATTAACATCTGCAGAATTACGAGGAGGCAGGGCGAGGAACTTGAAAAGTCAGAGCGCTTCTATAGATGTACATGCATAAAAAGGCGCATAACATAAAGTATACGTCTGAATCTGTAAAGCCGCGTTTCCGATGTCTGTATTTCGTATAAAGAAACTATTGCCCTTGTCATGCTTCCCACGTAATAGTGCGATGTCACTTGCCAGTGGTCATTTTTACATTGGGCCCAGTGGCGCATGTGCACGAGAGCATGTTTTCCTCTCTGATTATGTATACCTGCGTGCGCAACATTTATGCAAGCATCAGAATTAAAGTTTTCATCTAAAGTAAGAAATTATTGATAAATACATACCAGCATGTAAACTAATCTATCTAGTTCATTGTCAAGTAATACCCCCCAAAAAACTAGTGAAAATATCTTAACTGGTATAAAGTATATTGTCAGGCTGTCTGGCATAACTCAGCATGCATTTTCAAAGGTTGCATCTGCTAAGATAAAAACTCACGATAGAAATTAAGATGGATTTTTTGTTACCCACATCCCGTTTGTTTCATATCACACACGTATACAAAATCATACCACAAAGAGATTTGAAATGTACGTGTAAAAGTATTTGATCAAACTAATTTAAAGTTATCAGAACAACGTAGAATTACATTAACAATAATATTTAATATTTCAAATTTTACAAAACAAAGTTTGTCTGTTTGTTTGTTTGTTGTTGCTGTAGATGTTGGTTGTGCTGTCTGTTGTTTTTGTCATTTTTTATTAATTTTTGTTTACATTGCGCGTATTCAATAGAAATAAAATATTTTTAATCATTACATAATGCAGCCCAGTTTAACAGGGAAAACACAAATTAACATTTTGGGACTCATTTCTAATTAGTTAAGTTCACAAAACATTTAAATAAATTAAAATTAAATGCAGTTAGGAACTAAACAATAACCGCCTCCGTGGTCGATGGGTTAGAGTCGATGACTTCTAATCCAGTTACCTCTCTGGCGTGGGTTCGATCCCCGGGAGATGCTTTGGTAGTTTAGCACGGAAAATAGGTAGTCTAGTACTGGTGTTACTCTCCAGGAACGATGGTTAGGAAAATTCCCCCCTATATGACTGAAATACTGTTAGGAAAGGCGTAAAATGAAACAAACAAACAAAGGAACTAAACAAACGTGCTGATTTGAATGTCATGAAAACTATAACTGCCTACCTTGATTTCATACATTTGTTGTTAGAGTACCGTAAAGTGATGTTTTAATAAACAGAGAGGAATAAAACCGCCATAAATAAAACTTGGTATTTGTTGTCAATTACTTTGAAACAAAATTCACGTTGGAGGAGTGTACAAAACTAATTTAAGGTTTAAAGTTTGTTAAATACCTGACGTAAATACAAAAAACGTGTGTTTTCAAATAGTTTTCAGTATAATAAAATAAATTTTAAGTATTTTGGGATTGGTCCCATTGTTACAAACATGAAAGTCCATCGTGATAAAATAAAGAAATGATGTATGAGGATGTATGATCACGTGGTATGTTGATAAGGTTAGTCACTGTTAATTTTGTTGTTTGTCGATATCACTTTTTATATTTCTATTTCTTTACTTTGATTTGGCCCTTGTTCCACGTGTTAATGGTCTATTAAAAAAGGACACTGCGTTTCGTCATACAATATAAATCGCATTATAACAATTATGTAAAATGGGCATATTTGGCGGTTCGTCTAATATAACGTATGATTTCCCACTTTTGTATTCTCGTGCAATTTTAGTTATTAAAAAATCTTAAATATGCCCCGTCGAGCAGTTGCCATTTTAATAACTTCTATCCCATAGAATTGCAGAAACGGCGTGGAATTGTGCTAACGTTAATTTGTTTACTATTATGAGGTCATCATACATTTTTGAGTACAATACTTATTCAATTGGATGAGAACACAGATATCAAATCTGTATTGGAGGAGGTCCTAGCCTGAAAGCAGTTGATATGCTTGTTCGCTACAAAATTATTTTCAGGGTCTCCGGGCCAACTATGCAATTAATGGAAAAAATGCACTGCTGGCCGTGTATCTTAGCTGGAGCATGGGCTGTATTAAAATGCAGCAAAGGGCCCAAAAACCAAGAGTAACCTTCGAACTTAAGGGACCGCCATCAACCATGTCTTACTATTACCCAAACGATAGACCCTGTGATAATATATCCCGTCAATGTGACAATACTGACCATGGAAAGGACAAAAGATCCTCATTTATATAAGTTTTGTAAAATTTATGCTACACAACCATTTCTATACCTTAGCAGTTACAGTTTGGCATGATATATGCTGTGGAATGTATGGCGATAATAAAAAATTCTAAAAGTAATTTCGATACGTTTTCAATGGAATCATGATCTGTATTATTACAGTACTTGTTTTACCCTCAAGTGTGAGAACTTGACGATAGTAATACATAAATAGATCAAGAGAAAATACCGTTTATTATACTAAAATAAGAAAATGATTCATTCAAATTATATTTACAGCAAAACAAACTTCAACAATAAAACATTTATAGCCGGTTTAAATTTGATATATTTATTTACTTTTAGACTGGTTTATGTACGTTAAAACATATCTTAGGTCTTTGCACTAGGGACGACCTATAAGAAACATTAAGAGAATAGGCATGACGTGTTTAGAATAATTCCGGTCCAAGAATGATACATCAGTTAGTTATGAATGGAGAAATGGTAGATTAATCTTATCGCAGCACTCCTTGACACTGACATCATCGAGTTCGATCAACGATTAAAATCCCATCTTGCAACATTAAAAAAGATATTAGCTGTTAAATATAGTTTGAATATGCATTGAAATGACTTATACTAGCGTGGTGCTAAAAACTACTTGTCAAGATGATTTGTCACTTAACATAATCTATGTCCATTAAATGGCCTTATGCAACAGTCATGAATGAAGATGACTACTTGACATAAGATTCAGGTGAATAAATTCCAAGAAGCTACGTTTGTAAAGTTCTTCGGTATAAATGCTTTCATAGCTTTCATACTCATATGCAAGATTCTTCCTTAATCAATTTGTAAATTAATTTGGCAATACTTCAGTATTAAAACTTCCGTTAGTTCTGATTTGCAAATTTTATCAGGCATAGCAATCAGTGTCTTGAAAGTTTGATTGTTAGTTCAATATTCAACAACTTGTAAAATAATTTAGTTTAGAATGCTGTTTATAGGCAACAGGCCTTATTAGGAGAAAACATAATTATATAGACGATTTGTCAATGATGAATGTTTCAATAAGCATTTTGTTTTTCACATATAATTTTTAAAGTCTCATAATCCAAGGACGACATAAACTTGTCAAGTGACTTTAATCTAAACAATTGTAATTAATTTTAACATGAAATGACAATCTACTTTCTCATACAAAATTCATTTGAAAACTTTGTATCATCGCTTAAATCGCTGAAATGTTTATTGATACACAAAGATGAATGTTTTACTAATGTATTTTTCTTTCTTTACAGATTTTGTATAGAACTGACCATCAGGTATAAAGGTCAACTTTAAGACAGAAATCTTCGGAAGTTTCTTGGTATCACACAAAATTAGGGATAAAAAAAGAGACACAAATTAAAATTTGTCATTACTATCTTTGTATTAAAACAGTACGCCTTCATGCATACATAAACGCATATATAGAATTGAATGTTCATAACTTAATGGTAAGTAAAAAATTACTATACTGCAATATTTTCCATTGATGATTCTGACAATAATCTTCCATCAATTTTTAATTAATATTCATCAAACTTTAGCATATTCATGTTTGCTGGTTTTATTACAGTCCGTTTCTACAGTGTACATATTCCAATCCTTAGGCATAGTCTTACTTTACAGCATCCAACAATTTTACTACATCTTACACATTAACATCATTTCCACCATCATCAACATTTGACTCTGTCTTCCTTTTCACTTCCAAATCATTTTCATTCTGAACAGCATCTACAATGGCAGAATCGTTCATAGACTTTCCTTCTACTTCTAAAACACCTACTGTTTTTACAATATTACTACTTGTTTCATTATCAACCATTTTTGTGTCCACGATTTCATTATCTAAATATTGTAAGTTCTCTTGGCTGTCAGGTTCAGCATCAACTACCCCATCCTCCTCTTCACCATCTAGCACTAACTCCCCGTAATAAGCTGTGATTGTTTTCAGTTTTTTATTAAGAAAGTTCTGCTCCATCTCCATTTTACCACCTGGCCCTGCTATACTTGTTAACTAGAAAAAGACAAGAATAAGTAATAAGTATTCATTATAGGGATATGTGTAAACATGTTTTACAAATCAAATTATATAACATTTTAGATACACCCAGCCCAATGGGCATATAAGTCACCTAAAAATAAATCAACTAAAATAACTTGGTAATTCTGATTCTTGTTTGTCTTTGGTAAAGTACCATATAGTTACAGTTATTCAATAAATCTGCTAACGAATGTTCCCCGATTGCTGTGCCAGTACTTGCATGTTTATGCTACAATGTATTTATGATGCTGCATGTTTGTAACGTTTTTTTCATCAGTTAACTCTGCCATTTTAATAATCTGCAAGTATTACTACTGTGTATAGAATCTGTATATTGTTGCTTCAATCAACAGACAGGAATTTGCTCTTTTAAAAGAATCACAACAAGTTAATTTTATCTTCACAACATGCTGTTCCCCATTTTAGACAGATAAAGAGCAAGTCATATTTTAACAATCAGAGCTATTTCATTGTTTTTTATAACTTATGTCTAAAAATAGCAACAATAATACACTTTTACCATGAACTTAATTTGTAAATCTAATATTTGAAATAACTTTAATTATTTTTACTGTTTTTCAGTGAAAAGCATGCACTAGACTCTTGTGATTCATCAGCAGGGAAGATATTTAAAATGTTGCACCAATTATCTTTAATATGATGCAGGCATAGTTTTATAAATCAGTTAAGAGCCACAAGAATGACATACAATCATAAAATATCTCCCTATCTGATGACAGAATAGAAACAGGTCTATTAAATTGTTTATGACTACAATGAAACAAGTGAGGGATCTTACCTGATCTATATTGGTATTTCTGGGAACAAACAATGCTATATTGTTTGTTATTGACCTGGTTGCACGCACAATCTCAAATGTGAAGCACTGTTAAGGAATTATATTGGCATGTAATAAATGTTCTACTTAATATTGTTATGTTTTAGTGTAATTTGTTTGGCTTGAGGTAAATGGAAATGTAGACAAAGAATTGTGATAAACATCTATGTCTTTTATTTGTAACAACATATTTTAATGCTGTTTCATGCAGAAATCCTATAAGCTGATGAGAAAAAGAAGATGCAATAAAGAGGTCTAAGAATGCATGTACATGTATAAAACTTATATAATGCTGCATTGTCCTTGTTTGGGTTTAGCAAGATATATAAAATGTATTTAAGTCACAAGTCACTATTAGTAGGTAGTTATCTAGGAAGTGTTCCTGGATTCAGACACTGACCTATTTCTCACACAGACATATAAAGTTTCTCCCAACAAATTCTTCTGAATTAGCCACAAGGAAATATAGCATTAGAAACACTATTTCCAACAAAAGTTTCGAAGAAAACTAAAAATCACAAATGTAACAATTAAGTTACATAGCATAACAAACATATTAACCAAGTTACGACAATTCAAGCAAAATTTAAAGAAAGTCATAACTGTCCAAGGTCATTTACAGGTCAAGGTCATTTTTGCAAAAAATTCAACATGTGGGTTTGGTTACAAGTGTAAATTTCTGTCCAAATATGATTCAAATACAAAACAAAAAACAAAAGTCATGGTCATTATATGCAAATTCAACAGTTTGACCTTGAATGTCAAGGTCAAATAAAGTTATTAAAGGGCCAAATCAAATTCAGTTCAGAATTTTTTAAAGGTCTTGTAGAAAAGGTTCTTGTGTCTAAATATGAAGACAATCCTTTTACTGGTCACAATGTGAAAGCCAATTAAAGCAAAAAAAAAGTGAAGAAAAATTCAATAATCTAACCTTTAAAGTCAAGACCATTTATGAGTCAATGTCAAATTCAGTTTACTCTACATAGAGGTCTTGCCCTAAATGTAAATAAAAAGTTTTATATCCAAGTATGCAGACAATTCAATTAGAAATAAAAGAAAATATGATAAAAGTAATATATTTTTAAACAGAAAGAGCAGCATCAACATCATCGTGACTGCAGAAATAGCTCAATTTTTCTCTTGAATAAAGTCAAGCTAAAAATTACTGTATAGATTAAACCTTTGACCTCACATTGCATGAGACTGATGGCTTCAACGAAATGTATTATTCTAAGGAATTTCCTTCCCATTTTTTTTTAAAGTTTTTGTTTAAACTTAATACAATGAGCCTACTTGAATGATATGATAGTGTGCATTTTTAGAACATTTTTTTCATGAAATTAAATTGATTGCCTTATCAAAATAAATTCTCAACAAATCAAACCAGTTTAGAAATTGTAAGATGAAATACAAACTAAAGGAGGTAAATACAATAGTTCTCTTGTACCTAAAACATACCAATTTAGAGTGCTAATTATTGCTTATTCATGCTACAGTGTTATGTAATGCAGATGTCAGGTGGTGTGCTTAACATCTGTTATTATTCTAGAAATAAATAAAGCTGTTGTTTCAACATATGCAATATTATGATAATCTTAAAAAAACAAAGTGCAGAAACATTATTTCAAATATATGTTTATCACCATTTAATAAATATTCTCAAGCAGCTGTGGACAATGTTAACTTCTTTTCAAAGGGAGAGAATCATATTTTTACATTCATTGCAATATAGATAGCAGAGTACTTGCTCCTGAATTGCTTAAAGTTGTTTATGTTTGTTTATTTTTGTTTGTTTGATTGGGTTTTTTTCATCACACCAACACATTACAGGTTATATGGTGATGTTCCAGCTTTATTGGTGGAGGAAGACCTCAGGTGCCCTTCCGTGCATTATTTCAGGTCCCAAGTTGATTATGCATTTAATCTAAAACAGTTAACCATATGTGAGTCTCCAAATGAACAAAATTAAAAGGATATGTATTTAAGGCCATCATGGTTTCAAGGTCAAACACCTCAGCACTGATATACTCTGGTCCGCCCCAGGGAGGACTTAAGAAGACAACATCAGCATGTAGGTGTGGTGCTAATTCCATGTAGTTACCAACAATAAATTCTATCCTATCCTCTACACCATACACCCTGGCATTGTGGCGAGCAAGTTCAACCTTCACTGGATCTATATCTATAGCAATCACTGAAACACAATTGAAATATAATATCTAAAAATCTAAATCATTTAAAATGAATAAATTTCGAACAGAGGCACTAAAAACATAATGTGCCAAACGTAAATGATCTGGATTCAGGTTATACAATACATTGGTCATAAAGGTCCCTCTTGTTTAATATTCAGAGTGGTTTAATATCACTCTATGTAGGCAGCAAGACTATACTTGCCACAATGCTAAAACTGGTGACTCATACTATAATACATTTTAAAAACTGTTACCATCACACTATTTACATATTCCTTTGGTCATTTCTTAAATTAATTTATACAAAAAAATGTCTCTTATTTATGACACATAGAAATTTCAAAGTGACATTATTCTCATTTTTTTTTTTTTTTTTTTTTGTCAAATTGTGCTGAATTAGCATTACATTTAGAAATATTGACTATTTTAATGTTTAATAATCAATAATTGATAATGACAATGTTGTTTAAAATAATTTAAACAACCAAATAAATAAAAAAGACTGTCCCACTCTTTTCATTTACTGGACGTAACCAATAAATTCCAAGGGGTATTCATAGAAATTTCCTTTGCTTATGTGGGTAACTTCTTATTGATGCATATTATTAAATTAATGTTTATGTTTTGGTCAAGATTTGTTTGTTTTAAATGAAAATAACAAATTTATATAATACTATCAAATTAGGTACATTGACAGGTTTCTTATTTCAATTCAAGCGATTATTCTGTCATTTGTATACAGTCTTTTTAAGTTTATTAAGTTATTATATTGAACAGATTTTCACCACCCAAAAAGAAAGTAAATTATAGCTGTTAAAATAAGCTTTATAAAGTAAACTTCAAAACAAGAAATACATGTATATTATAAATAAAATATTTGAAATTGTAAAGATACAGGACAGGAATTTTTGTAATAATGAGCCGCGTCACAACAAAACCAACATAGTGAGTTTGCGACCAGCATGGATCCAGACCAGCCTGCGCATCCGTGCAGTCTGATCAGGATCCATGCTGTTCGCTATCAGTTTCTCTACTTGTAATAGGGTTGGTAAGTGAACAGCATGGATCCTGATCAGACTGGGCGGATGCGCAGGCTGGTCTGGATCCATGCTGATCGCAAACCCATTTTGTTGGTTTTGTCATGGCACGGCTTTTATTATATTGTCACTCAAAATAATAATTATAAAATACAAATTTGAGATGTCACATGGTCATTATTACACATAACATACATTTAGATAAAGAATCAAATCAGAGAAATACTTTTTTAAAATGTCTTGATAGGGGATTAATAAAACAAAGTAATTAGATATTTATAAGAGCATTTCTAACTGCCAAACTTTCTATAACATAAATACATGTATAATAACTGACATATACTTTTCGTGCCTGTACATGTTAATACATGTACAATGTAGATTACCTCTTTCACAAGTGAAGGCAAACTGTATAGTATTTCCTCCTACACCACAGAAAGCATCAATAACAACATCACATCTACATCTGTCGGCAATATGCTCACCTATCTTCTCTGGTGTCACAGAAAACCAGCCTTCTATAAATAGATATACTAAACTTTTAACAAAATTTATCCTTTAAACCGGTATTAATCTAACCTTATTTTCACCTATAACTGTACTGTGTTTCTAATGTAAAACAATTAATGTGTACTATTTCAATAACTGAAAATTAAAGAAAAATTATGTTTTTATTCAGCTAACAGAAAATAAATTGGTAGATGCCAATTACACTTATAAGATCATTCTAAAAAGAATAAACACATAATAAGAAAGTAAAAACAGACAAATAAACTAGTCAAATATTTCTAATAGAATTTTAAAATTCATTTTTAAAAACAAATGTACAGTCGAACTTTGTTCGCTCGAACTCGGAGGGCCTGTGCAAATTTGTTCGAGAGATCGGTAGTTCGAGCCAACCGAGGTCGAACTATTATTACGTTGATCATATGTCTAAAGGTTTTCTAGCATACATCGGTCGAATGATAAATACGTAAATATAATTGTTTGTTAGTACATCTGTTTGTTCATCGAATATGTCATATTCAGAATTATTATCCCAGTGTTTTCAATTAAGTATTAACGGTACGTTGTGTTAATCTATATTCATGCATATTGTAATTGGTTGAGTTCGATTGAGCAATCAGACCAAACTTGTTGAACAATGTTCAAAATATATTTATATGTTTATAATAGGATGTATTTAATTAAAAAAATAAATTAATGAAATATTTAAGAAAAAGTTTTACAGCAGCATTTATTTGTAGTCATTTACTAAAATAAACACACGGACACGTATCAATCTATTAAAAGATAACACTGTTACATGAACTACGGTTGTAATTAAAGCTGTCCAGGTAAACGTCATTCTGTATTGACTTTTGCATATTTCACTTATTTCACGAGTTATTTTCTTTTTATCGTTACCATAAACGGCAAATCAACAATATTATCATAACAAACAAATCGGTTACAACACCTCTTATTTTGTATCAATTAACCTTAAAAACCTTTGTCACGATCACGAGGTGTTAAAAACATGTGTCGCCGACTGTCATTTATTTAGGACATGTCGACTTGTCTTTTTGTGTTCGACCGAAAAGGTGTGATTTTCACTATATATCTGCCCAAGGGACCAGAGATCAGGTTCGAGAGTTCGAGCGATCGGTGTTCGAGCGATCCGAGGTAGAACAATATATATTATATAGGAATTTTGCCGGGACTGGGCGATGAGTTCGAGCGAAGGGAGGTATTCGAGCGATCCGAGTTCGAGCGAACAAAGTTTAACTGTATAACAAAACACATTACTTGTTTTTTTATTAATATAGTTCACATGTATTTTATTAATATCTTCAAACTCTTAAGTATCAATTTAAATCTTAATATTCAAGAAATAAGCTTATGTATCATATGTTCTAACAAATCAGTAATCATCTGAGATCATATATCATCTGAGATCTATATATATTAAGCAAAGCTTACATGTACACTTACCTCTATCTAGTTTAACTCCTTCATCAAACTTGGAGAAGAGCCTGTATCGCTGACCCCAGTATTTCCTTAGTTGTGGATCTTCAGCCACCTCTACTGGCATTGGTAAACCTCTCTGTCTCTTCTTCTTTTTCCGTGAATTCTGTTTCTTCTGAGTAGAACTTATATTTACCTTATCCTCAGAATCATTCCAAATGTCAAGGTCATATTCCACAGCCTCTCTTTCAAAATTTGTGACATGTTCAGAATTTTCATATTGGTCATTGTCAACTCCTGTAAACTGGAATGTATCTGGAGCAGCTTCATCAGTACAATCGTTTAAAGCATTGATGTCATCTTTCATGAAATTAAAAGATGTTCCTTTCTCTACATGCATTGACCAAGTATTTAAGTTTGATGCTTGGATATTTGTTTGTTCAGTTACATTTTTTATATCATCTGAATGTATAGCTGTTTTATCCTTATTGTCAACACCCGAGATATCCTTAGAATTCATAATTTCCATTACTTCTTGGTCAAAGTCATCGGTTTCATCAACAGGGTCATTGTTCAGTTTGCCCAAGAAGTTTTTCACTTTGTTCAAAGTTCTACATGGTTTGACTGTCATTTCATTTCCATCTGTATCAAACCTCGTGTGCACACCTTTACCCATGTTTAAGTTCTTTGATACTTTATGGATATTCCTAGTTTTGTATTTTACTTTTCCTCCCTGAATCTTCGGTTTCTTCTCATTTGAACTGAAATTGATCAGAGGGATTATGTTAAATTGTATACAATATACAATACAAATATAGTATAAAGAAAGTAAATGCATTTATATACATACCATCTTATATAAGCTGAAACATGTTTCTTTGATAATGATAAGCTATAAGCTTACCAATTTTAAGAGTATAAAGCTACATTTATTGAAAAAAAAAATTATAAAATATATAAGTAGTAAAATTATGTTGTTGGTAAAATCTCCAAAGAGCTGTAACATTGAATGTCTCTTCTATTTAAAACACATGAAAAATGTAATTCTATGTCAACAGAATAAAATATGCAGGAACAAAATATTATTCTGCTACTTTATAAAGGATTTTAACTGTTCAGCTATGATTTTATGCATGTGTCATTCATATACAAACATATTTCTTTCCTACAGGTATTTGGAGTTGTTCTCTTTTAAAATTCAAACAGCCGAGGGGGAGCTGTAGCCTAACGGTTAAAACTAGTCTGCATCTAAACCCAGGAATCATGGGTTCAAGCCTTTATTGGGTCTTGACCATGTTTCTTCATATGACACCAGTACTGGTTGGTTCCAAAAGTGATTAATGTAAGTTGGAAGAACTTGTTTCGCAATCGAGCTTAAATGTATATGTTTAAACCAAAATTCAAACAAAAATTGTAAAATGCAGGTAAACATATAGCTTTATATACTTTAAGAAATAATAAGAAATTTGACTTACCAACCCTCCTCATCTGGTAGTGAGTAACCAAGCATGGACAATGCAGCTCTAGCATCTGATACCTCATTACTAATACTAGGCTCTGTAGCATCAACCTCATGACTATATAAAATTGACAGTAAATGAACATTTAAGACCTTACAAAATCATTGGTTTCAGTTGAAATCATACTCAAAATAGCAGCAAAATACCCCAAAATTCTGTAACATTTTATTCTGTTAACATACAGTATTCATGTATATTAAATATAAGAGACATTCTCTGTTACAAACCTTAATTTTGAAAACTAACCATAAGATTATGAAAACTACATAATTTTACTGGTTTTTAAAATTCCATAAAAGTATTTCATTAAATATAGCTTTATACCAATTCTGATTTTTTTTTACAATTTCCTTATACCTGTGATTCTCCTGAATAGAATGTGGAAATTACCTGATTTTTAAAATGTTCAGCAAATAGAAACACAAATTACAATCAAGTACAGTCAAACCTGTATTAAATACACCCTCTGAATAAAGATCACCCTGTGAATAAAAACCACTCTTTTACAAACCTTTATAAATTAAAGATAACAATGTTACCTACAAATAAAGATCACTCATATATACAGGTCATGTTCAGTCTCTCTTGTTGATGGCGTTTATTCACAGGTTTGATTGTAATATCTGGTTTGCTGATAATTTAGAAAATCTAAATAAATACACAGATATGTTGGTGTATATTACCTGTGAGGAAGTTGTGTAGGTCTGTCCTCTGGTGGGTCGTCCCCATCTCCTCCAGAACCTCTTAGCCGTGTAGTAAGAAATGAACCTATAAAGTAATATGCATGTGTATAACAAAATATTCTCAGTAATATTTCTGATCAAATAGAAAATTGACAAACACATGTGACAATGATAACATCATACTCCACAACCACCAACTATGATAAAATAGTAATTAATGATGCAAGAAACTTCAGATTCTCTGTCATAAACCTTAAATATGATCAGAATGATCAATAGTACATTAAATAGTTTTTTTTTAAATATGCCTTTTATTATAATTATATCACTTTTGCTTAATGTTTTGGATTTAAAATAGAATAGAATAGATTAAGAAAATTAAATATTAACCTAAAGCTAAATTATGTCTACGACTTCCATTCCTGTGACCTGACTCATTTCCTTGTTGCTGGTTCCTTCTTTCTTTCTCCTTCCTTTTCTTTCTGCTCCCATCAACTGGTTCCCCCTCATCAGTAGCATTAAAGCTTCCATTAGTAGATATTTCATGTGATTTTGGGGCTCATTACCCGTTTTTAAAAACTGGGCAAAAACTCCCCTTCCCGAATTTTTTATTCCCAAAACATTTCCCTTTTTTTCACTTTTTTCTAAATTTTATTTAAGTTTTTGGGCTTTCTTTTTTATTTTTTAACATTCTTCCAAAATTAGTTTTTCCCCAGTGATTTTCAAAGGGTGTAACTATTTTAAAATTTATGGGTTTTAACTTATTAACAAGATTTTCCACAGCAGTGCCATCTTCATTTTGTATAACATAAACCACTTCACTATCTCCTTCTCTTCCATTATCAACAACATAAACAGTATTTTCTGCACCATTGTTTATTTCATCTGTATCATTTGTACATTCAACAGAATATTCCTTGTTTTCATTTGATTTCTGTGAAGTTAATTCAAGATCTGTTATCTGACTTTGAGCATCTAAGTTGTCCAATCCTTCAACAATTTCAAGTTCACCATTTTCATTTACTACAGCTATACCCTCAAACACACCTTCACAGTTTTCAGACAATTCTTTATCATTTGGTGCTATCTTATTAAACTTGTCAGCAAACTCATTATAATAATACCAATAGCTCTCAGTGTAATGTTCATTCCAAAGATCTTCCCATGCCTTACTAAAATCCTCTTCAGTAAGGTTTTCTTCATTAGTCTGTTTATCAGAAGAATCTGTTTGATCATCATGTATTTCAGATTTTTCATGAGCGTTTGTTTGAGAGTGGTGGCTGGAATATGAATGCATCATGTTAACCATTTCAGTTCTCTCATTTGCTAAGTTATCTACATCAGATTGTGTATCACAGTTTTCTATATCTTCTACATTTGAAGCTGAGCCCTCAGTCCTTTTCTGTAGTGTGGAAATTATTTCTTCACCGCTGATACATTTGAAATTTGGAGAAAGGTATTGCATAGGTGAACATGGATTCATGTACTCCTGAACTGGGCTTTCCTTACTTAAATCTGTTTCAGGCACTTTAGAACTCGCACTATCAGTTTGGTTATCTAAGATACTTTGGGCTGTCTTTAAATCAGGACATTCAGATTTTTCTACTACCTCCTTTGATTGAGGATATATACTATCAATTTCTTTGTTTACATCTGCACCAACACTGTCAGTTTCAGTTTGAATCTCAACTTCAGCTATAGCTGGCACAGCTTGCAGCTTCTCAAAGTCTATTTGATCTGGATATTTGGCAACCCAGCCTTCCCAAACCAAATATTCTCCATATTTACCCCAATAGTCCTGCCATACAGTTTCTACATCAACACCAGCTAGGTTTAGATTTACTCCATTCCTAGATCTACTATCTGTCAACTGACTCTTGACTGACATCAAAGTATCATTTATAGTGCTCTCATCTAATTCAATTCTGTTAGAACAATTTTCTACATTCACTATCTTTTGTCCATCTTGTGCTTTTTCTTCACATTTCTGTTTGTTACGCTGTCTTTGTTTTTGTTTTTTCTTCTTGTGACCATGATTTTTATTGCCCTATTAATGTATCAAAATATCGTATTTTAGGATACATAAAATACAGGAAACTGCTTTTTTACAATTTATTCAATTTATCATCAATTTCATCTTCGCATTGATGAGTACAAAGATATATCACTGATTCTGACCATTTTAATAAAGGGTATTACATCAAATTTCTGCCATAAAGACTAACAATCCGTTGATATGTAGAGTTAAGTAAACTGTAAACAATCGGACATTTTTATTATTCTAACTTACTTTTTTCTTCTTTCCTGTATTTCCAAAGTGAAACTCTACAGGTAGACCCATCTTTTTCATCATTTCTAACTCTGCTAGCTGATCTACGGTTATTTCAGGTTCTTCTTCTTCCTCTACACTTTCTTTAAATCTCTCAGTGTTTGTAATATCTGGCACCTCCGCTGCTACTTCATGATGAGCTTTGTAACCTTGATTATCTGATAAACCAAACAAAAACTTCAATCACATACAGGTATGTCAACCACATCATAACATAATATAGAGGGCCATGATGGGCCTGAAATCGCTCACCTGTATATAGGCCCCTGGGCCAAGGCCAATTTTAAAGCAGGGGCTTTTATTTGAACAAACTTGGTAGACACCTGATAAATATCTAAGCTCTAGCTCTTTAGGGTTTTTGATAAGATGATTTTTTAAGTTTTTACTATATACATATAGGGAAAAACAATGACCCCCCCACCCCCTTGGAGGGGCCAATTTTAACCCAAGGGCCCTTATTTGAACAAACTTGGTAGACACTCACTAGAAGATGTTCATGCTAAACATCTTAGCTCTAGCTCTTTGGGGTTTTTAAAAGAATATTTTCTTAGTTTTTACTATATACATAAAGTGAAAAACAATGACCCCCCTGGGGGCGGGGCCAAATTTTTACCCCAGAGCTTTTATTTGAACAAACTTGGTAGACACCCACTAGAAGATGTTTCATGCTTCATATCTAAGCTCTAGCTATTTTGGTTGTTTAAAAGAGGATTTTTTAAGATTTACTATATAAAAATAAGGAATATCAATGACCCCCTGGGGCGGGGCCAATTTTTACCCCAGGGATTTGATATGAACAAACTAAGAAGACACACACTAGAAGCTGTTTCATGCTAAATATCTAAGCTTTAGCTATTTTGGCTTTTTATAAGAAGATTTTTTTATGTTTTTGCTATATACATTTAGGGGAAAACAATGACCCCCTTGGAGTGGCCAATTTCAACCCAAGGGCTTTTATTTGAACAAACTTGGTAGACACTCACTAGAAGATATTTCATGCATAGTATCTAAACTCTAGCTCTTTGGGTTTTTTATAAGAAGATCTTTTAAGTTTTTAATATACACATATAAGGAATATCAATGACCCCAGGGGCGGGGCCAATTTTAACCCAAGGGGTTTTATTTGAACAAATTTGGTAGACACCAACTAGAAGATGTTTCATGCTTAATATCTAAGCTCAAGCTATTTTGGCTTTTAAAAGAGGATTTTTTTAAGTTTTTACTATATACAAATAAGGAAAATCAATGGCATTTATTTGAACAAACTTGGTAGACACTGAATAGATGATGTTTCATGCCAAATATTTAAGCTCTTGCTCTTTCAGTTTTCTTAAAGAATATATTTTAATTTTTTTCTTTCAGTTGCCATGGCAACCAGAGTTCTGCTTGGAATTAAATTCTTTGAACAATTTTTGAAGTTGACTGCCAAAGGGACATTCATGTGAAGTTTGGATGAAATTGGTTTAGCGGTTTATGAAGAGATGTCGTTTAAAGTGAAAGTTCACAGACGGATGCCGGACAAAAAGCTATTACAAAAGCTCACCATGTCACTTTGTGACAGTTGAGCCAAAAAAAAATACCCTTGTAAAGCAAACTTTAATCACTTTCTATTCTAATTAATTTATCAATTTAGATGACATACAAGGAAACATTGTGATGGCTGCAGGAAAATTTCGACACACAATCCTGATTTGTGTAGCTTATATTTAATTTAACACACTTGGCTTTTCATCATCTAATTAAAGGCAGATTTGCCCTCAGAATAATCTGTTCCTTCTTAAGAGATGCTAACAATCTGTTTATAACATTTAAATATTGGTTTTAGAGCATATTCAACACATTAGATGCTTATCACCTGAATGAAGAAGTGCTGAATGTGAAATTTGCCAAAACAGTAGCAAAATGTAAACAAAGTAATATTTTGACTTACATACAAAATACTTAATCACTTTAAATGAACTAATTGCCAAAAAGCAATACAAGAAAAGATGGTTCGGGTAACACGCCATTAAGAATAAGTAACTTTTTTTTATCTTTAGCAGGGCACTGGAAATAAAAAGCTTTTGAGAAATAAGAAAAGCATTTCTGGTGTATAACTTGCCTTTTACTATAATGTATTTAACAAGTATTCATCTAGGTGCAAATTAAAGAATAGAAACCAAATTACAACTCAAGTTTAACATCAGGTAAATACATGTACATGCAGAAATTCATGAAACTGTCTTTAGGAAATCAATTATTGCAACATGAAATAGCCATCACTGTATTTGAAGTTACATAAGTTAAGAATTAGCCATCACTGTATTTTAAGTTACATAAGTTAAGAGTTAGCCATCACTGTATATTAAGTTACTTAAGTTAAGAGTTAGCCATCACTGTATATTAAGTTACATAAGTTAAGAGTTAGCCATCACTGTATATTAAGTTACATAAGTTAAGAATTAGCCATCACTGTATTTAAAGTTACATAAGTAAAGAATTAGCCATCACTGTATATGAAATTACTTAAGTTAAGAATTAGCCATCACTGTATATTAAATTACTTAAGTTAAGAGTTAGCCAGCACTGTATTTTAAGTTACATAAGTAAAGAATTAGACATCACTGTATTTTAAGTTACATAAGTTAAGAATTAGCCATCACTGTATACAAAGTTACTTAAGTTAAGAGTTAGCCATCACTGTATATTAAATTATTTAAGTTAAGAGTTAGCCATCACTGTATACAAAGTTACTTAAGTTAAGAGTTAGCCATCACTGTATATTAAATTACTTAAGTTAAGAGTTAGCCATCACTGTATTTTAAGTTACATAAGTAAAGAATTAGCCATCACTGTATATTATATTACTTAAGTTAAGAGTTAGCCATCACTGTATATTAAGTTACATAAGTTAAGAGTTAGCCATCACTGTATTTTAAGTTACATCAGTAAAGAACTAGCCATCACTGTATTTTAAGTTACATAAGTTAAGAATTAGCCATCACTGTATTTTAAGTTACGTAAGTTAAGAGTTAGCCATCACTGTATATTAAATTAATTAAGTTAAGAGTTACCCATCACTGTATATTAAGTTACTTAAGTTAAGAGTTAGCTATTACTGTATATTAAGTTACATAAGTTAAGAGATAGCCATCACTGTATTTTAAGTTACATAAGTATCACTGTATTTTAAGTTACATAAGTTAAGAATTAGCCATCACTGTATATTAAATTACTTAAGTTAAGAGTTAGCCATCACTGTATATTAAGTTACTTAAGTTAAGAGTTAGCCATCACTGTATTTTAAGTTACATAAGTTAAGAATTAGCTGTCACTGTATTTTAAGTTACATAAGTAAAGAATTAGCCATCAATGTATTTTAAGTTACATAAGTTAAGAATTAGCCATCACTGTATATTAAATCAATTAAGTTAAGAGTTACCCATCACTGTATATTAAGTTACTTAAGTTAAGAGTTAGCCATCACTGTATTTTAAGTTACTTAAGTTAAGAGTTAGCCATCACTGTATATTAAGTTACTTAAGTTAAGAGTTAGCTATTACTGTATATTAAGTTACATAAGTTAAGAGATCAGTGTCTATTCTAGGAATTGAAAAATAGGGGTGATTTTCCCCCCTCTATTTCAAAAAAGGGGGCGATTTTCAAAATCAAAGGGTGCCAATATAAACTGCCAGTGTTAAATCGTCTGCATTACTAATAAAGTTTCCCAAACATCACAAGGTATCACAAGGTATTAAGTTTACACTGAGGCGTTCAACCGATGAAATATTTAAAACGATAATATTTATTTAAGGCAGCAGAAGTTGTCCCCCCTTAATTTTTAAACGAAAACAAATTATTACAGAACTGCCGCGATTGATTATAAAGGGATTGGCAATACAAATAATCGAACTATCTTTCACGTCTAGATCGTAGCCAAGCTAGGAATTGCCTCATTTTTCCTGATTATTAACTACACTAAAATGGCGCCCAACTGTCAGACCGAGCACACTAGTTCCGGTTGATACGGAACATTTCGTTAATTTCCGTCAACTCACGTAACCAGTACCATACGGTACTAAATTATTATAATAAGCTTACAGTGACCTCCCTTCGGTTTTCGGTGTAAATGTAAACAAAACAACCAAATATAATGCGGGATGGAAGTTTTACGGTTTTATTAACTATTTTTATAGATGCGCGATTTTCACGCACATGATTTTGAATTGTGCGCGATCTGTTAAATACTAGCGTGAATCGCGCAATCGCGCGTCCTAGAATAGACACTGAGAGATAGCCATCGCTGTATTTTAAGTTACATAAGTATCACTGTATGTATACATAAGTTAAGAATTAGCCATCACTGTATATTAAATTACTTAAGTTAAGAGTTAGCCATCACTGTATATTAAGTTACTTAAGTTAAGAGTTAGCCATCACTGTATTTTAAGTTACTTAAATTAAGAATGAGCCGCCACTATATTTAAAGTTACTTAAGTTAAGAATTTGCCATCACTGTATATTAAGTTACTTAAGTTAAGAGTTATACCTGCAGGATAATCCTGTATTTCTGTTATCTCAGTGTTTTCTATGCTATCCTCATCAGGTATATCTTCTTCATTCTCCCCATCATCTACATCACAAGGATCTTTTTCTAGTCCCAGTTTGTACAGAAAAGCATCTCTGTAAAATTGTAAGAATTTTCTAAGATCAATACCTACAAAAAGGGTGCTTCACCACAGAACAAGAAAATGTAAATATGGTTTTTATATATTTTTTTCTGAACTTTTAAAGTTGCATATCACAGATGAGCCTAAAATGTCAAGAAATCATTTTTGAGAAAAAACTAAGATGTTAAGAAATTTTGAAAAGTACATGTATTCACAATTCAATCAAAAAATTTCATATTAAATACAATAAATGACTGATTTTGCAGTATTTATAACCATATTTCGTCTTCATGACTAACACATACTTTGATCTTGATTTATTAATTTAGATAGATTGAAAGTGTTGTTTACAATGTGTAAAGTATTTCTTTGTTCACTATGCCACTTGACAATGTTTTTTAATACATTTTTAACATTTCATGAAAATAAGCATGAATATGGTGGCATGCTGCTTTAACTTAATATCAAAATATTGTTGACTATATTTCTCTGCCTTAAATAATGCAAGGGGATGAGTACTTGAGGTCTTCCACAACAATCAAAGTAGGAAAGTGGTCATTAATAAAGGCCTTGACAGTTATTATACAATGTAGGAAACAAAAACTCAGACATTTCTGACTATGATTTAATGTTTAGCCAAACAAAGTATTTTTTATCTAAACCTAACAACACTCTTAGAATGTGTCATAAAAACAGAATAACATACCCTATGAAAGCTCTTGTACAGTGACATTTCACTGTATTGTCAGCATCATTGTCAGACAAATTTAGCTGTAATTCTGCCAAATGATTCCATCTATAGCACATCTTTGCCCAGGATTAATACTGTGTGAAGTTATTATCAATTTAACTGAAAATATGTAATATAAACAACTGTATCATTTTTTAAAAGTCATTCTTATTAATCAAAATAAATTTATTTATCAATCAGATGTGAACATGTATATCAAGATTGATAGATTCTGTAAAAATTAATCTAACAAAAAGGTAACTTTATTATAATACATCTTAACAAAAAGGTTAACCTGGGATAAAAATGTAAGTTGAAAATGTGGCATAAATTTGCATAAAGTAAATTTAGTATTATCTGCCCTTTTGAACTAGCATCTTTTTATGACAAAATTTTTTAAAAAAAAATTTTATTGAACTTTTTCCAAAAACGATTTTTATGATTTAAAAAAAAAGTTTTAAATTCAATTTTAAGCCAGTCCAAAAAAAATTTAGCCCTATTTACTTAAAGCTTAAAATTTTGTGACATTTTGGGGAGTATTTTGGTATTTTTTGTGGCCCATTATCTGCCCATTTTTAAATGGTTCTAAAATAAACCCAATCAAAAATAATTTGACGCCAAAGGGTAGATTTTGAGATATTTTTTGTTTCAGAAGGGGAATTTTTGCCCACACACAAAATTGCACATTAAACCCTTTCGCACTCAAAATTTGTTGGGCTGACAAAACATGTATGCCAAGTTTAAAGTGAATAGCTTTTATACTTTAAGTTTATCTATCTATCTTACATTAATGTCAAAACCCTGGCAGGGACATAGACATGAGAAAATCAACCTGAATGAAAAGGTTAACCAACATCCCAGCAAACAAAAGACGTTGTACCAACGTTGTACTGACGTTAGACCCTGACGTTGGGTAAACGTTGGCAGAAGGTTGGATTTGAAAGTTTTTTAGACGTCAGAATCCCGACGTCTATACAACGTCATAAAATGACCCTTATCCAACCTTATCTGACCATAATCCAACCTTTTCTGACCATAATCCAACCTTTTCTGACCATAATCCAACCTTTTCTGACCATTATCCAACCTTTTCTGACCATTAATCTGACCATAATCCAACCTTATCTGACCATGATTTAACCTCATTTCAAACTTTTGGAATATGATTTTTTTTCATTTTAAGTTTCATTAGTAGGGTAAACAAAATAAGCATTCTTATAATTTTAACAATTTATTTGCAATACGAATCACATGTACAAAACAATAAATGCGGTACTATAACAAATGTAACATTAACATAATGTATTATGAAACTATTAAACTTGACAGTATGTACGTAAATAACGCTTCATATATTAAATAATCATGTTTTAGATATACAAAATTCTTCATAAACATTAACACTGACATTTTTTATGGTTAACATTCATGCATGTTTTTCTTATATCACCAAGGCTTATTTCCGACTGAACCGATCAACCTGAGGTTGGGATTTTCCGATCATCTATCCAACTCACTGATTGTATATTTTTCTTTGTACTTTTTATCTGAATGTTAAATGGAACAATATTGTGAATATTTTGATATTACTACAAATAGCAATGTTCATATATCTTAATTAGCATTCTTCTTTCGTCCACCTACACTATGGCAATCTGGGGCATACTTTAAAGTATATCATAATCTGAACCTTTACCGTCTCCAACCTGAGATATCATCATTCACACTATCTGAAATTTAAAAATAAATCAAATAATCACTTACAATTACAAGAAATAAATCACTTTTACATATTACAAATAAATGAAATTCTAACAAAACTCTCCAACTACTTTAACAAACGAGGCTTATTTTTTTTTACTTTAGTTTAAACCATGTAGTTTCATGTACCTATATATCATTTGATTTTGATAAAAATGGCTTCGTGATCAATGTAATATTTTGAATTATACCTGTCACAAAATCTTGTGTGTTTTTCTTCTTCTTTTCCTTTTAATAATTTTCATCTTCCTCCTCTGAACTTTCGACAGTTGTTGAATTATCATAATTTTCACAATCTCTGATATTCACTGAAAGACAAAACAATATTATGATTATCAAAGCACGTTTACGAAAAAACCTGATAAAATGTTCAATTAATTATTTTCATTAAGTATGACCTGAAAATTTAGTAAGAAATTACAATTTTTGCCTGCGCAAAATTTAAAATGAAAATGATTTTTTTATATTTATCATAATTTATATAAATGCTACAACATCAAAGAAATTCACATGTTACTGTCATTTTTATAGATATAATCTCTGCCCAACATGATTCGATCTTCTAAGAGTATAAAGGACAGACTGGCTGAGGGTACAAACGTTTTATGATATGAGCATATAACTTGTTTCACTATATTTGATAAGCAGGCTAATTAACAAACTACTATTTTTATTGATTTATAACCTTGATAATGTGTTTACTGACTGATACTATCTTGTCTTATTACATTAATGAAAAGATAAGTAGTCGAAAACAATGTGGTTTCAGATATATCTTACCAAAGATGTATCATTTACATGTATAAAATGCGAATAATCATTATCATAATATAAGAAACATGTGGTATGCTCATGGGTAAAATACTTCAATTTTACAACATGTAGTTAAACAACTACATAGACATCAAAATCAAACTGTGCTTGAGACCCTACAGTTATCTGATACATGTGTAAATGAATGGCCCTCATATAAGGGAAATTCATGTTGATAAGAAATAAGAGGAAATTTTATATGCCAGCATTTGAATAATAGAGTCTAATTAACGTACTGCCTTTAACCTTTTATCACTGTTTATTGATTTCAATTGCTAGTATATTTTATACCATTGATTATGCAAAACAATAATTTGGCAATGGCGATATAGTGTGGGAAAAATAATCCGATAATACAAAGTGTTCTAAAGCAAATAATAAAGTGCTCTAACGAGGGAACCAAAATATTTATCTCGCGAAATCATGTGACTTTATGTTTTACCAGTCAAACTTTACAATGATCAATTAACCGCCGAATCCATGCAAACATGCGGTAAATAAGCATTAAAACAATATATCACGTTTGCCTACCTTCTTCTATTTGTTTGGAATATACAAGCTTGTCTGTCAACCCGTCGTTTTTTGTCCGCCAATACATTTGAATTTCAAATCCGATAAGACTCCAATTCGAATTTACTAGATTATTTACCACTATAAAATGTAGCCCACAAAAATGATTACAACTTCATTGTTAATTATTTAAACACTTCTTTGACTAATTCGAGAAGATAAGTTATTATTAAAAAGAAATAGAGCAAATATATATTATACTGATCGATCTGCGGCTACCCGTTTACCGAGCGCCACCTATCGAATATCGTACGGTAGCCACCCACGTGACATTGTTGTTGTTTTGATTAGACAAATAAATTTATAATGTTCCCTTTCTAAAGAAACTTAAAATTCTCACTGTTTATGATAATATTTATATATATTGGTTTTATAAATTAAATTTACCAATTGTCAGATTACCGACCAAAATCCGACGTCGAGTCGACGTCAAAATGAAACGTTTGTTAGACGTCGGGGTTTCAACGTTGGTTTGACGTTGTGTGAAGGTCGCCGACGTCGCGACCAATTTTCAACGTTGATCCAACGTTGTGTCAACATCGGGTGTTTGCTGGGATTGATGTCAACGCCTACAAGAAGGTCATGACAACGTGGAGCTTATAAAAATGAACAGAAAATTTTTATCTGACTTCCCTAGTCAAAATATATTGATATGCCAAAGTTTCATTCTGAGATATTTTCTTTCTGGGTATTGAGATATTGCCCAAACACAAAATAGCACAATATTGTGCAGAACAATTAGTTGGACTACTGACTTCCCCCATTTATAGCCTTTGCCTATGCAGTGATTACAGGTGTAGGCCATTTCTAACAGCCTTGCTGTTGGGTTAACCCTTTAGCAACGTGGTAGAGTGTCCGCCTTGTAATTGAGAGGTCAGCAGTTCAAAACCGGGTCACCACCTGAGGATTTTTCCAGATTGCAATACCTACCCTCAGGTTACTGTTACCATGATGTTATGCATGGTTGGGTTACTTAACACAAATACAACATATTAAACAAACAGAATGTTTGTCTCCTTGTTATTATTTCTCACTGACCTCAGACAAATATTTAAAGGGTTCAAGCCAGCCATAATTTCAAGAAAGGAGAGAAGGGACAAGTTTCTCCATTCTTACAAATTACGAGATTTTTCAACAAGACATGGAGGGATAAAATTTAAAGTATTAAAATCGTATTGATATTCAGAAATGTAAATCGATATTGACTTAAATGTTATTCCGTCAATATGAAATATGACCACGAACTATATGGCACGAATCAAAATACATCGCGAAATCTAGTGACAAAATGCTTAAACATACAGGACAATGAGGATATTCTAACTTGTTGTACTCAAAGCTAATATCTGAAATATAAACTAAGTTAATTTTCTGATTTCGATCCATTTAACAAAACATTTCATGAATAAAGTAAAATGTTCGTACTAAGTTCGCAAAATTAATCAAAACTACTTGGACGCTTGCTTTTGGATTTTCATCCGGTCGTATACCACTAAAATATATTGTGGATATGAATTACGGACAGGGCGGACAGTGAGACAAGGCGGACCATACCAGGGCGGACCGTATGTTTGGACCTTAATTATCAGGATCCATGCTGTTCGCTATTAGTTTCTCTACTTGTTATACAGTTTGTAAGCGAACAGCATGGATCCTGATCAGACTGTGCGGATGCGCAGGCTGGTCTGGATCCATGCTGGTCGCAAACCCATCATGTTGGTTTTGCCATGACGCGGCTCATTTCATGACCGAACATAACGTTGTAATTTATCATTATAAAATGATGTGTACATGATGTACATGTATATCTTTTCTCCACTTAACAAACTGGACGACGAAGGTACGTAACTTACATTTAATATATACATATAAATTTTTATGTTTTCATCCTTTCATGCTATTTTCTGTGGTTGGTAGTATTAATCGGGTTTCTTTTTTCCCCTGCAAATCAGCAAGTACAGACCTTTGGTCAATGTACATGTAAATGAAATTTATAAGGGCAAACACCGAAAAACAATTTCAAATATGCAAATATAAACATGGTGAAAATTCATTTTTTTCTGAGAAGCATGTAAATTAACAAGAGTTTCTGTACTTATTTTCAGAGGTACATTTAGTATAGCATTTTTATGTTGATATATACACTGATTCGAAGATATATGCAAAGATATCAGCAGGGCTCGCGCTGGCAGGAGCCAATGAGCAAATTGGCTCCAAAATAATTAAATTGGCTCAAGAAAATCCCAATTGGCTCAGACCTACGAAAAGTATGACTTTGGAATCTCCAGTCTAAATTTAGCATTTTCTATTTTAAGAATGGAAAAGTACACATCTGGTTTTCCTTCTCAGGGCTGGGAATCAAAACTGCGTCGTATCCTACAAAATGTAAACAAACGCCGCCATCTTGGAACGAAAAACGTATGTTTATGTTTATAACTTTTATTGTTGGAAATGACTGAAAACAAGATATATGTATTAACACGCTACACTATTTTCCGCTTCGTTCGGTATATGTTGCTTGCACAACTGTTTTGTAAAACAAAAGTTATAGCGAACTTGCAACTCGAAGCGGGGCATAATTTTTATGAAAATGTGTGGATACGACGCAGTTCATATTGCTTTATCTATCGTTTTTTTCCTTCAAATAAATTATATATTTGTTTCAGAGTTAACCATAACCTTCGAAATATAATTTTGCATCATTTACTAAAATTTCATTAAAAAGAAATGTTTATTTTCCAAGAAAATAATGATTTTTACGAAATGATACGACGCAGTTGAAAATAAAATATGATACGACGCAGTTGTATTTTTGGCAGTCTTTTAAACAGGGATAATTTTGGCAATACATTTCTATTTTATGGAATAATCACTTGCGCTAGATAAAAAACCCAGATCATTTGCGGTGTATAGCAATGTTCTGTTGCTTTTGATTATTTAGAATACAATGTGTCATGTCCATTATACCATTTAATTTGAAAGTTTACATTGCGGAAGCGACTTTTCAGTTAAACATGAACATGTTACCTTGTTGATCATAATATCTGAAATAATTCCTTATATTTTCCTGTATGTTCAATATTATCCCTAATTCTTTTCGCAAAAACAATGTAGAAATCTTTGTGCTTTATTTCAGGCAAAATGTTGTACCTGCAGAGAACCATCGACATTTTGAAACTTGCTTGATAGGTTTTCCACACGAAAGAATAAAAAGTCCCTGGTGGTTTTCGAATTCATAGCAGTTCAGTTCAAGTGATTTGAATTCAGTAAACATAAACGCTTCGGCCTCGGTCGGTTTTTTCAACAAAATTTGTTAACGTCAGCTGTACAAATAAGCAGTTTTTTATTAACTTCTGGCGTGAAGTTTTAAGATTATAAATATTTGAATTAATTATAAAGAGAATAAAATTTAAATTTCTTATTTCGGTATGACTAGCAGAGAAATTTTCAATGTAAACAGGGGGTAATCCTCTGTGAAGTCATTTTCTGAAAACTTTTGTTTAAGTTTTCAGGCAATTCATTATCATATAAAAATCACACTTGAGTATGAAGGTATGTTAAGATGTCATGTCTCTAGTCTGTTGAAAATTCGATACGATAATCTGACCTAAATTTTCTGTTCAATATTGTGAAAACTTAATAATGCTTCAATACTGTTGAAAGATCATGTCTGCCTATACATGTATCTGCATCAAATTTATCGGTGCATAGCGTGAAATACCTTTGCAAAACGGACACCATTTATACAAAATAATTTGTAGTTGTATCATATGTAACTCGATTTTGAAAATTTAAAGTTTTTTGACGGAGAAGAATGATAATTATAAGTGCAAATATAGAAAATACATTCCGTAGACCTTTCCTCATCGGCGATAAAGAAACGCAATACGACAAAATCAGGGCACTGAACATAAAATGACTAAACGGAACGCATAACCTACTTGCAAAAATACGTATATTGTAGCTTAACCATTTATAATATAATTTTAACAATTTAATGTTCAGTTTCAAATAATAAAGCTCATCTATTCTCATCGATTATTAAGAAAATGAAGACAATAAAATCGGCACGTAAAAGACATACGTAATAACGGAATTGACGGAAATTATTGCTAATTACAAGTAACAAAGGAAGGCATGCAATTTGCGCATTCCCGATAGCGAGAGACCTTTTCAAAATTTGTAATTCTTTCTCTTTTGTTTTTTGTCATTCCTGATTAATACAGGGTCCAGGAGAGGTTACACTGGAATATTGAATTTTGTATCAAAAATAGTAATCACTCACATTTCAAACTCACGGGAACAAGTTTATAAGCATGCTAAGGCAACACTTGAACACGTTGTCATATGGGTGTGCGATCACGTGTTTTAATGTCTCGTATTGCATTTGATACAGCTTTTCGGAATTTGTAGATGCTTATGATTAATACTAAAATGCGATCGAAAAATGCAGCCTTGATAGAATTGTATTACATTTCCATTTTTATGAAACCAATGAGTGACCTCTGCTTTTGACTTACGTTGTAAACAAGAAATGTTGTTGGACGTTATTAGCATATACCTAGCACATAATTAAAATAGTTTAACCAATATTCAGCCTGCAATGAAAATACAACTGCGTCGTATCATATTTTATTTTCAACTGCGTCGTATCATTTCGTAAAAATAATTATTTTCTTGGAAAATAAACATCTCTTTTAAATGAAAGTTTAGTAAATGATGTAAAGTTATGTTTTGAAGTTTATGGTGAACTCTGAAAACGAGTATATAATTGATTTGAAGGAAAAAACGATGGATAAAGCAATATGAACTGCGTCGTATCCACACATTTTCATAAAAATTCTCCCCCGCTTCGATTTGCAAGTTCGCTATAACTTTTGTTTTACAAAACAGTTGTGCAAGCAACATATACCGAACGAAGCGGAAAATAGTGTAGCGTGTTAATACATATATCTTGTTTTCAGTCATTTCCAACAAAAACAGTTATAAACAAAAACATACTTTTTTCGCTCCAAGATGGCGGCGTTTGTTTACATTTTGTAGGATACGACGCAGTTTTGATTCCCAGCCCTGCTTCTACAACTTCCGTTTTACAAAACACAGCGACACAGTCTACTTTTTGTGGGTCATTGACTGATTTACATTTGTAACTTCCGTTCCGAACGAAATGTTGATATGAACAGTAACACAGTCTAATACACTGACCCTCAGGGTATGTTTACATGTTTATCAGCTGATAAATACGACACTAATTGGTGTGAAAAATACCTGCAGCTATAAAAAATATTATGTCTTGTTGGAATATTATAGCCATAATTTCATGAAATTTAACTGCATGCTCTTGGTTGACTTGTGTTGAAGTCTCCTCAATTTGATTCTTTGACAAGTTAGTTTATATTAGAATTGGTTTTTATGTGCTCTGCCTTAATTAAGATGATATCTGTTTAGTGAATTAGTATACATCAATTATTTCTTCGTTTTCATTGACAACGGAGTCAATTATCACTGAAAATACCTAAAATGAGATTTTTTGCTTCGTAGATTTATCCATCTTTTCTGATCACATTCGTGATTTAATTTTGGAAGCAGTTAATCCAAAAAATGTGTTTTTAAACATTTTAAAACGGTACCTGTACCATTTTATCTGCTATTCGCGTAACCTGACAATTATCGATAACGCTCCGCCCCCTATTGAGGCATCAATGAGGGAAATCGGTAGTTCCATATATGCGTGAATTACCGGTCCATATACTGGTCCATACTACTCGTAATTCATGTATCGTACAAATACCGAATATCGTCTACCTTTTATTTAGCCTTTTTTATAAAATAAGAAATTGTCGGCCAATGTACGTAACATAATGTATGAAACATAAATAATTAAGCATAGCGGCAAATCGCACGACCACGGGGTTGATTAAAAATATAGTTGCTAAAATATCCATAATGTGTGAAAATAATTTGTCTGTCCCGTTAATCTGATAGATATTACATTGAGTTTATGGACTTTTGTACGGATTCAATTAAGGGCTTGCTTTACATTCAACCTCGTTTTCTAACAATGTCAAGTAAAACAACAACAAAAACAGACAACATTTTTTATGTGAACGCCTATATATGACTTGTGGTAAGGTGTCCCTGACAAATTTCTAAACCATTTTAGGTTGTCTAAGGGTGATTATTTCTCTATGAATCAATAAAAAAAGATAATAAAATATATTATCAGTGAATGCTTTGAATAAATTGTTCGCCAGTAAATCGAACACAGTACTAATAAACCTGGGACAAAGTATGGAATTTATTGTATTTCCCAGTAGAAACTGGATCTCTATGCCGTGCTTAGATGCATAGATGATATTCATGATAATAGAAGTCAAGAAGGTCAGATCATAATGATCGAGTGATACCTTTTATTTCTATTAAAATATGTGAAGCATTTATATCAATAATGAATTTGGAGGAAAAAATATATAATATCCCGTTCTTATTTGTACATCTACCGTTGACTTTAAAAGACCGTCAGAAGCTCAGTTTTTTTGTTATTTTAACGGAATTTCATAAACGAATACACAGAGTGACACTGGTATAATATAATAATAATGCTGATGATAATAATAATAAACTTCAAAAGTGAAACAATTAAATACCCCGCTAGCGGTGCGCAAATACGTTCCATTTCCCCCACCGAGTGCCTCAAATTTTACCGAAAGTCACGTGACATGTGCGACCGATACCAGACGGACGGTAAATCACGTTAAGATTTGAAGAAATTTCTGTTATAAACTGATATTAAACAGCAACTTTTTAATTGGTCAGGTGTCACTGGGTCATAAAATGTTGTTAGAGTATGTTACCGCAACTTATGACCCTCTCTGGTGCGATATTTGTGTATTATGCAATTATTTAGCGTGAAACGTAGGGGTCCGAGAGAGAACAGCCGATTTATGAAACTTCGTTTGATGCGGGTCGGACTAACTTTGAATCGGCATAACTTTTTTAATAATCAAGCAATTAACATGCGGTTTAAAGCACATGAAACGGAATTCATTTACGGAGGGAACCGTGTCAGGGATTTTTGTTTGCTCAATCAGCGACTTAATTATCTTTAATTACGTAATATATATTCATACTTTATTTTTGTCTCATTCGTATACATACATTTCTATACATATTTACACATATTCACATAAAATATGCATACGACCATTCTATTTAAGAATATTAAGAGACATTATATCAATGATAAACATATTCAAGACCTATACAGTTAGTCTAAGACTAAAATCAAATAGTAAAATTACAATGTATTTAAACAAAATATTAAAAGTAAGGTAACCATCGCTAATCGAAAAATAAAAACTGCTAAGAAATTGAGAATTGTAAATCGGAGCCCTATCGCGCCTATAAAAACGTTTTAAAAGATCGATTATCATTCAAGATAAGATCTTGCATGACCTGATTAGCAAGGATTACCTTAACCTAGGTAAAATACATTATCATGTTTAAAGCAAATATAATGGCATTATTTACAAGAGAATAAAAGACGACGTTGTAGAATGTTAAAACAGGTTTTGGCACAATAACGTATCATTTCAGTTGTAGTGAACAGAAATATTAATATGTATGGTGAAAAAAGTCGCATAAAATGTTTGACGTTACGTAATATTTTTTCAGAAAAGATAGAAAAAATTTGAGACACGATTCCCCAGATGTTATAAGTATGTTTATTTTCCAAAAGTTTGATGACAAAAAAATAAAAAATGACTTTGATATGACGATTTAAAATTAGGATTTTTATTAAAAATCAATCATTTACAAAGGCATTTTTTTTCAAATATGTTTTTTTTTATGATGATCAACGACATTTAATGCACAAAGATTAAATAAATAACAATTATTACTAAAATAAATTGGTTTAAATGACATTTATGCGAGTACCACGGAAAGTGTCTGTTGTCGCCTTAAATCAATAATCTAAATTCCTCTTTACAGCTAAAATGTTATGAATGGTATACAATGTATATAAAAAATATTACAATTAAGTTAATTGTTTCAAGTTTATATTAAAATTAGCGCAAATTGAAAACATGTTTTATATATGAGTTTTTTCTCTCAAACCATTCCCATATTAGCTTACACATATAATTGTATATGGGTCAATATCTATAATATTAAATATACACATATAATTGTATATGGGTCAATATCTATAATATTAAATATAAAGTTAGATTAATCCACAATCTGCCTTATGTCGTGTCAGAGACAAAGTTATCTATGTCTCTGGTCGTGTGCACATGATTAATACATACATATGTAGATCTAACTAGTATTAGATGGATGTTTACATTCTTTTCAATATGAAAATGCTTATATATATACGACATGTTTAGGATGATAATGATGCCGAAATATATATAATAGAAAATTAAATAGCAATATTTAATTTGAAAATATACATGGTCCGCCTCGTCTCGAGTCACGGTCCGCTCTGTCCCAAAATATGGTCCGCCCTGTCCAAATATACGGTCCGCGCTGGTACGGTCCGCCCTGCCCCACGGTCCGCATTGACGTACGTCCGTGGATATATGGTACTAAATTATCATTGTCAAAGCTTCATCGGTTATGACAATCAATCCATTGCAAGTTGGCTTCATGCATTAGTCTTTCTATGATACTGTAGGCCTTGAGTGTATTAGAAATTCATGTTGGTTTGACATATGCCTACGATTTTGTTTCTGAAAACTCAATTAAACTACTATCAATAAATATTTTTGAAATTATTAAATCTACGACCGGCTCCTCTATTTTGACTTCTGTTTATAAACACATTTATAAATTTATTGTTGACCTAGAAGGAATGGTAGAATAAACATGTTCAAATGTCAAAACTTATATTATGGAGAAATTCACACAATTTAGTGTCATTTGACCCAAGAGAGAGTTTCAGAATCCAATAGGCGCTTGGAATTGAACTTTTGATTGGTCGTTTCAGTTTCACTGACCTTTGACATGACATATGTACATAATTAGAAATGTTATGTGAAAGTGACAGGGGAAGTGATATATATTGTTTTGTCGTGACATGGGTACATACAGGCCAGGTATCAAGTTTTATTAATCACATTACATACCTGTCACAATAATTTTTCCTTTAAAGCTTCAAGAAGGAGTAATTTATCGATGTTCAACTGAAAACAGATGAACAGGCATATTGCAATGTATTGACATTATTGTAATAATTTCTTGTCATCTTCTCAATAATATATTTGGTAATCTGGTAATGTTGTCTAATAATAATTACTATTATTAGCATAGTTAGAAATTGAAGATAGATGTTACCTAAAATGAAATTAGTGATGGCAAAGTTATTACATGTATCTTGATTCTTACAAAATTCATATGATATCTAATTATCCTTCACTCAATTTAATCTCAGGAACTTGAAATTCTATCAATATTAACGATAATATGCAAAATATAGCCCCATATGATATAAAAAAGCACAGTATATAAGGGGTATTTTTGGATATTATCATTAATATTGGTTATTTGATAGAATTTCATGTTCCTGTGATTTAATTGCCAGATTTCTGTAAACAGGACTTGTCTATTTTGGAACCTTTAAGGTTTCATGTTAGTTCACTGGGTTTGGGATCAAAATATTACATAAGTTGAGCATTAAAAGATGCTATTATGATTGTGTTTTGCTTTACAATTTGTGTCAGACTGCACAGTATTATAAGTTTGAAGGCTTGCCCGAGTCCTATATTGGTGGCAGTCAAGCAAATTTCTAGCAATAATCAACAGATGAACATATTATTACATAGTCCTTGATTCTATGTAGTTTATCTCTAATTAAATGTCATTATTGATTTATTCTCTGGCACACCAAGATTGTTTTGATGTCACTTGGACAAAACTAATTAATTGGACTTGGCTGTACAGTGGTAGAGTGTTACAAGTTCTTTGCAAGTTATTATTTATAAAAACATATGACTTTGAGAAATAGGTTTTAGCTCAGGAGTGACCCATGCAACAATAGAAATGTGAAAAAAGATAGATTTTATGTTCTATACATATACTAAGCATATTCATGTTTTGATTTAAGATTGTTTTAAAATGTGCCACAGTAAAGTACATACTACATGAAGTACTGAAAGTTAACTGTAACCTTCGAATTATTATAAGATTTGAGTTTTTATTGCTACATAGTACAATGTCACGTAATGCAGTTGTTCAGAGTCAGTTTGATTCATATCAATTTAGAATGTAGCAGTATTTTATTTATGAGAAAGTTCTTGAAGGATATTGCTAATATGATATTTTGAAGGTGAAAATTTACAAAATTCTTTCATTTGTTTTAACATAATCCCAATCTTTAAAATGATTTTTAATGTTAATAGAATGAGGATGGTTGTAAGCTGCTTTAATCAAGAATCTATGGTTTTTTTGTCAAAAGATTAGGAAATATGCAATCAGACATGGGCTTGTATTTGCTGTAGATGCAATTTTTCTTGGAATATTTACATTTTGGAGTGTTTTATTGATACTATATGCTATGTTACAGACAGACTGACTAGTGTATCACGTAATCAAAAGGGATTTTCAATTTTTCATGATTTTTTCCAAACATTTATTTGAAATTATAATATATACATTCAATGTTTATTAATGATATCTGATGAAAATGAAAAAGAAACTTTGTGAAATGATGTATTGTTATTGTGTCTAGTGTAAGACAGATTCGAAGACCTTTAAGATTAGATATATTCAGTAAATTCAGTCTGGAGAATTCCATAATACAATAACAATGCTTGTGTAAAAGAAGACTTGTTTCACAAGTTTCAGGACTATTATTTCTAAATTTCCTTGATGTTTGTCATGTTTCCTTGAAAACATAAGATGATCATATCCTATATTTTAAAATCATTACATTATATTTGTCTGCTGTAACATTTATGTTCTCTGCCCTCACTTATATTGGTATTTACAGATCTTTTTAATATAATTTAGGTCTATTTTCTTACCTGCAACACTGGTACAGAATATGCCAATTCTAGAGTACATTAAAGAAACTGCTGAACACATATTGTATAAAAGAAAAATCTCTTTTGCTTACTTTTGTTTTTAAGTTCTTATAGGAGATTCCCTTTTGAACAAAATTATTATTTCAAAGAAGATCAGTAACAACATTAATATAGACTGATAATTGGGAATTTTATGCTTAATCTTAGTAAATAAATATACATGTATAAGGGGGAAAAAGGCCTACCATATATTATGTTTTATTTTCTGAAATAAATCAATATAAGCTGTAGATAAATGATAGAGTAATATTGCCAGAATATAAGTTGAGTTCTGTATTCTAGTCAATGTTTTCATTATTAAGAAATACTTTTTTTATTTAAATATCTTTAAAGGCACATAATGCCTCATAAACAAATAATTTTCTCCTTCTTTTGAAAGGGTATGCTTAATATTATATCGTTAAAATGGTTTTAGAGAATGTTAAATGTTTATTACCTAAAGAATGTAGTGTTAAATGTGAAATTATCAGTCATAAAATAGCAAAATGTAAACATAGAAGTATTTTGATGTCTATACAGAATACATGTACTAATCACTATAACTGTTCTAACTGCAAAAAAAAGCAGCGACAGAAGATTCAGGTACTGAGCCAATTTGGCCATTGAATGAGTATCTTTTTTGAAACTATAAAAGTTCAACAAAAATTAAAAAAGAACTTTTGAGAAATAAAAATAAAAAATTTATGGGGAATCATGGGCCTTGAATTGATAATTAATTATGCTGAAATTTATGTATAACATGACTGTTCATGCTTGTGTTAATTTTCTGTGATGTTCCATCATTTACATGCTCATGTAAACTACAGCTTCTCGTTCATTCCAGCATTGTCTGTGATCAGTTTTAGTGTCATAAATTGTTGATCAGCTGTGAAATGATTACTCCTTTCTGACCACTACCTAAGCAAATATTTATTGATTTCTACAAGAAGAAAACCTTGGCTCATTGCTTCTTATTCGAGCAAGATATTATAACTAATATATATTATTGCTGGGTGATATTGTATTGATTTTGACAAAAGGCAGTTTGCACTTTTATAATTAAAAAATATTGAAAATTGAAAAGTAAACAGTAATGTCATGATATTGTATATAAGCAAAATGAAATAACAAGTACATTTTTTACTCAGTCAGAAATGTTGTTTGCAACAATTGGCAAAACAAATGAAAGTTTTTTTTCATGAATATTAAATCAAAAATTATTTTGAGCAATATCATGCAGTCTTTAATACGGCACTATCAGGAAATTACTGTGCCAGGTGCTTCCACCTTATACTACATGTATCACACAAAATATATTGTAAGTGCTTTAGGACATGTACATGGGACATGATGATATCATATAATTCAAGTGACTGCATGAACATCCATTCATGTCTGACAACAGTATGACTAGATCTCAGCTGACGATTGATCAATATTTAGTACATTTACTATTTTGAACTTTAAGTATGATGACATAAATGCATTGTTTCTGGCAGAACCAAAGGAATAATTGTCTGGACATGTACACCATACATTAAATTTCGAGATAAAAAGCTAAAATTATTTATGTACACATGTACATGTACTCAATAAAATGAGTTTATTTACAGACTCCTGTAATATGGCATGAGTTACTGAGTTACGCTCATATGTATGTCAGGATCATTAATATTGAAATTTTCTCTGTATATTTAGTGAACATATACTCTCTATTATTATTGAAATTGCCATACATGCAAAACTGTTCAGTTGTTTATGCGGAGAGAATTTTGTAGGCCACAGGAAATTAGAATCCTTTAATTTCAGTTAGAAATACATTCTTGATTAAATAATTACAGTGGTGGTGTAATATTGCATGTTTTATTCCCGTCTTATACCTGGAATTTCTGATTTCTTACTTGATTAAAATTGAGTACAGAACTGTTCTGCACAGTTCTCAGTGACACTAACCAAGCGTGCATTCCAATAAATATTTAGTTTTTGCATGTCTGTGTTTCAATTGTCAATGTTCTTGGATTGATGGATGAATCATAGCAATGGCTCATTTAACTGTTATATTATTATAGAGTCTGCCTACAGTTTGTAAGATTCCCTGTGGACAATGATTTTATAATGATAATTTCTATAAGCTGTTATGAGATAGACTGACTGTGAGAATTACATGTTTCACACCAAAATTTGTATGCCTGTAAAGGCAGACATTTAACTCTTCACCAATATAATCATGATTCATTTGATTTTGCATGAAGTCTTAGACAGTAAGGTTTGTCACTGATTAAAAATGGTACAGTTTCATTTTAAGTGGAACCAATGAAAATTTAGGTGTTCGGTGCGTTGATTGGTCACTACCCCCGCGCCCCCCTCACCCACTCTACAACCCTCCTACCTCTCAAAACCGTGTAAAATTTAGCATTTTTCATTTGAAACATGTTTTAATATTTGGTGCATGCTTTTAATTCAATTACCTTCATTTCCCACAAAAATATATATATATATATATAATATATATTCACTTTGTAGAGTGAGTGAGGGGGGCCCTGGGGTAGTGACCAATCAACGCGCCGAACACCTATGTTCTGCATTATAACTGAAATTAATTATGCAAGAGCCATAACTAAGCATGATTTTGTTGAATTTAACCCCAATTGATCTTAAAATATTCCTTGTTTAGATCTATCTTCACAATAGTTTTCAGGTTCAGGTTCATTAACTACATGAATTTACATTGAATTGTACCGCCTTTGTGAGCTATCTGCTTTGTTTCTGTTCACTCTCAAATTGAGTACATTCATCTGAACAGCTGATGTTTTAATTGCATCCATGGTTGACTCACCTCTTGGAGACATTGGGATATTTTATGGATTTAAATAAGATACAGGGATTATGCATATAGGTAAACACATACATTGTAGTTTCCATTTAAAGCACCAATAAACCTTTAAGTCTCTCATCTGAACAACTGATTATTTTGTAGATACATGATGTAGAGTAGCTTGGTTTCAAACTTGGGACCCAGGTTATTTCTTATAGTG